ATATATATATATAATATTATCAAAATTGTGTGTTACATCGGATGTAGATCATTTTCTTGACATAAGGAAATCCGTCAATAACAGGATCTTAAACTTTGTTGAACAATATTATGTAAAAATGCATTTACCCCACAAACATCTAAAATAGTTAATCTTTTGATAAGTATAAATATTAGTGCTAGTGTTAACGTTCGATATCAACTTCTTGTCGTCTTTAATTTTGTGACTAACGATTTTAAAATGGATACTTCAACGGCAGGTAAATTCATGTTTGTTATTGAGACGATGGTTGATTTGCTATTGTATATTCATACTATTTTTCTATTACCCAATTTCATTAAAGAACTATCTTCACTAGATCGTCTTCGAATTGCATTACTAAATCTTGAATCAATCCCTGCTCATAAAATTCCCTCTCCGCCTTATCAACAACGAAGGGCTAGTGTTGCAATTATAATCCGCATTAAGCCTAATCTTTCTTACTATCCTCATAATTATCGTGATCAATCTTCATCCTCCGCACCAATTTCATCTTCTCTAAATCATTTGTTAGAATCATCTAATGGAAATCTGCTGGCAACTTCTACAATTCTTGAGGAATTTTGGAAATTACCTTGGGTTGCAGGTGGAGAACCTGAAATTTTATACATAAAACGGGCTTTGAGGGAAGGTGATCGGTGGAGTGGTCAAATGGCTTTTCCGGGTGGAAAACAGGAACCAAAAGATGCTGACGATTTGGATACTGCTGAAAGGGAAACGTTTGAGGAGGGTACGGTAATATTAATTGTAAATTATTCTAATTAATTAGAATAACTTAGCAATTAACTCATATCTTTCCATTCTAATATTTTTAATATTTTTAAACGTCATTATTATTAACAGTGGGACTAGATCTTGGTGATCGTAAATTGTTTCTATGCGTTGGGGCCTTAGATGATTGTAAAGTGACCACTACTTTTGGAAAGCAATTATTAATGATTCTTTGTCCTTATGGTAATTGCATTCCTCAAATCATTTATTTTAAACACCTTGCTAATATCATATTAATGAGTTCCTATGGGACGACTTTCATCACAAATTGTGCGCAGTTTTTCTTCAATTGACTCAAGAAACTCCTCCGATTGAGATATCTGGTTCTGAAGTGGAATCAACCCATTGGATCCCGCTATCTATATTTTTGAATCCTCAGATAACTCAAAAATGGAATCCAGCATCAATAGATTTATCATCTCGAATCGCTCCAAAATCATGGATTTTCCAATGTGTGTTAAAAACATTTATTGGCCGCATGCACTTTCATTGTATCGATTTACCACAATTTACGCCGTCAATATCTGGCGAAAATAATAATCGAGCAGAGTTATCAACACATTCAGAGTCTCATGTTGGTCCAATCACGACGTTAAGGTTGTGGGGACTTACACTACAAATGACTAGTGATTTGATAGATATGATGTATAAGCCTAACGAAGTTCCACCTAGGAGATTAGACGCCTTTAGGCCAAGATTTGACTATTGGGACGTTAATTTTTTTAGTTGGTTATTTCTGAAAAGTAATCGAGGAAATTACAGAAGGCAACAGAGGGATTTTGCATCAAGAAGGTGACTGGATGTTTAAATCTTTTGAAGGTTTTTAATTTTGTGTTTTTAAGAGGTTTTAAATCAAGTATCTTTATTTTATTTTAAGAACTATATGGGCAGATGGATGGAGTGATTATTATAGGGCATTACAAAAATCTATAATAATTGCTATAATCACAAGAACTTTAATTATTTTGTGGTTACTTCGAAAATCGCCAATATTGGTAAGTTATTTCTTAAGTTTCTGTAAAAAATATTTTAAAATTAGATTATGGTAGCGATAAATTATTTGTATATAACGGAGAATTATAGAGAACATTTTTAAATCGTAAGATTATAAGAATAGGCGGATTTAACAGTGGCAAAGTAGCCGAACGTATTTATGTGCAAATGAAAGTTTGAAATTTCAAAATGTAATTTGTTAATACATTGTGAATTTATTAAAGATGTATTTCCTACATACGTTATAGATTATTATTTATCCCATGATTATATAAAGCAATACACAACTTTATCTAAAGTTTGTTTGTTAATGTTAAAATGTTCCAAAATTAGACTAGCTAAATATACACCAGATTAGTTAATCTCTCCACACTGCTATTGGTTGGAGTTATTTGTGATAATTTACATGTCACCATCATTTAAAATGATATTTCAGGGTTGGCGTTAGGTTTATTATGCCTAGAGGTTGGAACCGTTCATTGTAATCGGATTATAACCGGTTTTAACCGGGTATAACTTATAACTAAACAGCTCGGTTTGGTCGGTTTTCGAGTCAGTTAGAGTCGAGTCGTTACATTAATTCTATTTCGTTCACACTTTTTTTCCCAATCGGGAATACTTTAAAGTATTAAAGCGGTAATACAGACAACTGAAAATAGTAAGAAAAATAGTAAAATACTAATTTTCATGAAGGTTCAGCTTCAAAGATTAATCCTTTTTGGTTAGATTTCATTAGACAAATTAGACAAATTAGGAAAAAAATTCTTTCTGATTTTTTTTATTTTTTAATACATTTCTAATACAGTATATATTTAAATTTAAATTTAGATTTAAATAAAAATAAATTTAAAATATATTAGAAAGTATTTTGCTTCTACCCACCTTCTTTTGAACTAATGTTTTTTAAATATTAAAAAAAAACCATACTAAAAAATTAAAAAACCAAAATCAGATACTAAAAAAGAGAGATGCTTAAAGCCAGATTCATCACGAATTTAAATTAACATTAAGGTCAGAGTCAGTTTAGAGCCTATATTGGCTAGAATCAGAAGATTTCTATATATAATGTCATCTTCTTGACATTTTATTTTATTGTACCAAGATAGGTTTAAACATTTGTTTCTTGTATTTTTTCATTTTTTACTTTTTTTGTTTTGTCAGGCTGATCCACTAATTGGTTGTGCATAATGGAAAATCTCATGATGGACCTGGCTTTAAGCAACCTCTAAAAAAAGAAAATATTATGAAATTTAAAATATAACAAAAGATTTTTTTAAAAAACTATTAAAAATTAAAAATTAGATGCTATAATAAAAAAAAAAAAAAATTTCAAAAATAAAAACTATACTAAAAAATTAAAACCCTGAAATAAGATACTAAAAAAGAAAATATTATGAAATTTAAAATACACTAAAAGATTTTATAAAAATTTCTTATTAATCTGACTTAATAATTCCTATAAAAATATTAATTTTCATTGCTTTTTAACCAAAATAGTTTTTATATAAGAATTTTTAAAATAACATACCAGAAGTTAATTAAAAATTAAAGAATTACAATAAAATTGTCACTAATAAATCGAATTATAATGATTTCATAAAAAGCCACTTCTTTAATAATTGTAAAAAAAATAAAATAAAAAGTTAATTACAATTAAATTTTTTTTTTTAATGTTAAAGGTGAGACCATGCTCTTATCTTTATTAAACTTAATGAAAACTTTTTACATAATTGG